GTTTCTATGTGTATTTATGTTGTTTGTACCGTTGGGAGCTGAAATAGCTTTAATAGCTCAACTAATTTACAACTTGTTTTAAGGTCTTTAGGGTTTTAGCTCTCTCCTTCACAGGATTTCCCTCTTTTCCCCAGAATTGATGATTCGAATACGTTTATTCTGAGTTTCTTATGTTTTTTCCAGGAAGGTGATTGTTGTTGAGATCGATTTCTATCAAACGATGATGGTGATTTCTCATAAGTTGAATTTGATTTTGTTCATAATCGTAATCGGAGGATCCATTTGTCGTGTCTCTTCTTCGAATATCACCCAACTTTGTAACGGATCATGCGGTAGTTGGAATCTGCCTTATCCCTTCGGGTTTGCAGGCGGTTGTCCGATCCGATTTCATTGCTCGAAGACTGACGGAGAAGCAAAGATCGGAGATTTTCTCGTCCAAAACGTGACGGAAGACAGTATATTCGTCGGTGTTCAACACAATTGCACTCGGAGGATTGAAGTTATGTACCCGCTTTTCGGTGATCACTATGCTCCTACATCGGGGAACAGTTTCCTTATGGAGAATTGCACAAAGCCAACCGATGGCTGCTCGATCAAGCAGAGGTTTTTGGAGACTCAGCTGAAACTGAAAAGCTGTGATTCCAATGGTAACCTAAGCTGTTTTTCTCCGGATACAAACTCGAGCTCAACGAATGCAACCAAGTATTTCAGTAAGATTGATTTGAAGAACAGCACTTGCAGTTTATTGTTCTCGTCGATAGCTTTCGAGTCTGTAGGTACGCATTCGGGAATAGCGCTGGAGTTTGAGAGAGTTAGGTTAGGTTGGTGGTTAAAGGGAGATTGCAAAAATGTAACATGCGCGGAAAGCGCCAATTGTACACCCGTTGACACACCTGACGGAGGTGCAGGATACCGGTGCTCATGTATCGAGGGTTACCAGGGAGACGGATTCATCAGCCCTTGCCGGAGAGGTTAGTCAATCTAAAGTCTTCTTTGTTTCGATATGTGTATTAAAGGCTAAAAAGTAAGAAGAATCATGGATTGGTTTTAAACTGTCATTTGGAATCTAGTTTAATGAAATTTTGTGTTCTTTGGGAAGAAATTTGGAATAACTTGTTAAATGATCTAGTAAATGTTGATATATAGATTATTAGTTCTTTGCATGTCTGATATTCTTGCCTTTTGTTTCCGAAATTTGCAAAGCATTGTTTTGCTAACTGGTTTCCTCTTATGCTTTGCAGTGCTACCGCACTGCCGTGGTTCCAGGCTCATGTCGGGACATTGTAGATCTAATTTTGGTATCATTTTAGGAGGTAACTGTCGCTTTAGTGTTTGCTTGGCTTGCTTTGTTCTTTCTTCATTTTTGACTCTGTTAATTCATTTGCTACATAGGAACTGTTGGTGGAGCATCCTTGCTAGTAGCTGGCTTGGCTCTTTTTTTCTTTTGTAAGCGCAGACGGTCTACTTCTCTGAGAAGCCACTTAAACGCAAAACGTCTTTTGTCTGAAGCTGCAGGCAACTCAAGTGTCGCCTTTTTCCCTTATAAGGACATAGAGAAAGCAACAAATGGTTTCTCGGAAAAGCAGAGGCTAGGAACAGGCGCATATGGTACCGTTTATGCAGGAAAGCTCCAGAATGATGAATGGGTTGCTATCAAAAGACTCAGACACAGAGATTCAGAAAGTGTTGACCAAGTCATGAATGAGATCAAGCTTCTTTCCTCTGTGAGTCATCCGAATCTTGTCCGTCTCTTAGGATGCTGTATAGAACAAGGCGATCCAGTTCTCGTTTATGAGTTCATGCCAAATGGAACTCTATCAGAACATCTACAACGAGAGAGAGGGAGTGGTCTCCCATGGACTGTGCGCCTCACTGTTGCCACTCAAACAGCTAAAGCAATCGCGTATCTCCACTCTGCGATGAACCCACCGATCTATCACCGTGACATCAAATCCAGCAATATCCTTCTTGATTATGATTTCAACTCCAAAGTTGCGGATTTCGGACTGTCTAGACTGGGAATGACGGAAAATTCCCATATTTCAACAGCTCCTCAAGGGACTCCTGGTTATCTTGACCCGCAGTACCATCAATGCTTCCATCTTTCTGATAAGAGCGACGTCTACAGCTTCGGAGTCGTTCTTGCTGAGATCATAACGGGATTAAAAGTTGTCGATTTCACTCGCCCACATACCGAAATCAACCTAGCAGCTCTTGCTGTTGACAAAATCGGGTCAGGTTGTATCGATGAGATTATTGACCCGGTTCTTGACCTGAATGTTGACGCATGGACTCTCTCATCTATACACACCGTGGCTGAGCTCGCATTCCGATGCTTAGCTTTCCACAGCGATATGAGACCGACAATGACTGAAGTAGCGGATGAGCTTGAACAGATACGGCTCAGCGGTTGGATTCCAAACATGAGCTTGGATTCACCAACCGGTTCTCTCCGGTCATCTGATCAAGGAAGCGAAAGATCAGTATCGGTTAAAAAATCATCAGCAGGAAGCAGAAGGCTCGTTGTCCCTCAGAAACAACCCGATATCCTTGCTTCTGTCGAAGAGATTAACGATAGCTCGCCCGTCTCGGTTCAAGATCCTTGGTTAAGTGCACAGAGCTCACCTTCTACGAATACATTGCTTGGTAACATTCCCAGGTGATAATGATCTGAAGAACACGTTTACCACTTTCTGTTTATAAAGGTCACTCTTTGTGTAGCTTTTCACATCATTCAATGTTCATAATGCTACAAGTAGAGAGATTAACAATGGAGAAAACAGGTTTGTACATGAGTTAATGTAAAACGATCTTGAAACAAGATCATTCAATCTATACCACATAAAATCCAGTAAGAATCTTAGCTTCTAATCTTTCTTTTCTTTTTTCAACTTCTAGTCTAATTAGACTACTTATATACTACCCACTCCGTTATTTCATTTTGACGCACCTTACGCGAATTAAGAAATCTCTTATATATTAATATAGAAGTGAAGTGATTAGTTTAGCTGTCTTCTCTAGAATAATATGACGTTGATAAAATATGACATGATAATTTGACTCTTTAATTAAGCTCACTAATCAAAATTACGTAACCCGTTAAAGAGACCAAATCCCTTTTTAAATTACGTAGCCCACAATTTTTTTTAAATTAATTATGTAGCCCACTAATCTACCAATGGCTCTCTCATTGTAATCTTTTTTTTAACTAATTGTTTTTAATTACGTTGTCCACTATTTTATTTAACTAATCTTGATAGTATCAACTCATAATTATACATAGCCTCTTCCACTCTATATATAAAGAATGATTTTAGGAGATATAACACCCAACGAAATCAATTCTCCAAAAATCAACGCCAAACTTTTTTTTTTATCTCAAGTTGATTTTCTTAAAAATGGTTTTGGTAGATGAATATGATATTCACAATCAAACTAATCTTACATATACACGAAAATTTCTATCAAAGGTAAAAAATTGTTTTTTCACTAAATTAAAAGAATCAACAACAAGTTTAAAAAAGATTTTGATATGTCTGTGAAAAAAACTTTCCAAGCTTATAACAAAAAAATATAATTATTCTTTCGAAATATTTTTTTTACAAAAGACAATTTGAAAGTAATAAAAATATTTTTTAACTCGAGAGCAACAATTTTTTTTAATATGTGTTTCATTTATAAAATTTATGATTTATATTTTAATGTTTTAAAATATTAAATAATTTATCTGTATTCTAAATTCTACTTAAGATAGTCGGACAAGCCAAATTTAACATGTTTTTTAACTCTAATATATTAAATTATTATACATATTGATTTGACAAGTTTACATATATAAATTAATTAAATGATAAAACTAAATTTTTAAAATTTATATTATTAATAAAAACGATATTATTGACCAAAAAAATTAACAACAAAAGAATTAACAATAATGTCTATAATAAAAAATGTGAAAACTACATATTTCACAATTTTAAAGACTAAAATTAAAAACAAAACTATATAAATAATTTACCTGCGTGTACGCGGAAGAATCACCTAGTAATCAAAATATACAAATAGCGGATTGCTAACTCCACTGAACTTTTCACCATCATTTTCTCTACTTATATCGGCCATCTAAAATATTATTTTCTTTCCTTTCTAATCATTTTAACCATTAACAAGATAGAGATTAACCTATGCTTGTAATCTAGTGATTAGTATTAGAGTTTAAATTGTATACGACTAAAAACAAATTAAGGATTATATATAAATGTTTCTTTTGGTTGATGAACGAATCCTCTATATATTAATTCATCAGACAATAAGTGGAAAAATCCGGTGTCACTCAACGAGGATTTTAAAAAATACATCAATTAAATTAACCAATCAAAACATTCTAATTAATTATATATGCCATGTTGAAAATCTCTACATATTTACATTAATTTTTTAACATGATCTCACAAATACATATGTTACTAATTTAAATCCAACTAAAATATAACATTTTAATATTTAAACTTTATATAACATAATGTTTTAACGACCAATTATTTATCGATGTTAATTACTTTATAAAAATTGTATTTATGTCTATTTGAAAACCATATGTGATTGATCATACAATTATTTTCTTTTATATCGTTTAGTTGTATCCATATTACTCTAATCAAAGTTGCTTTTTGTTATAAACGTACAGCTTTATAAATCAAATTAATGGTTAAATTACGAAAATAATCATTTTCACTTTTTATTATTTCATTGAATTTTTTATTTAAGAAGATTTATATACTAATGCGATATTTCAAACGTATGTTCGAGAACCATAATCTCAAACGTATTCAATTTATATTAAAACTTTTTATCTCCTCACCACTATCATTCTCCGCCATTTCTCTGGCTTGCCAATCCTTTGGAAGTTGGTGACCATCCTCATCATCACTAGTGAAATCCTCATCCTCCTCAGCATAGTACTTGACACCAAACAGTGCTTGCGTCCTCTTATCATACTCCAAAGGATCAAATTCATCGCCTAGATGTTTCGCATCAAAACCACCAGCTGAAAGCACCTTCTCTATCTTCTCCATCTCCAACTTAATATACTTTTTCTTGATATTCTTGGATTGCTTCAGTTCTAGCTGTTTCTTCATCTGAGCCTTCTTCCTTCTCGTTTCCTTGCTTTTCCGTTGTACCTTCCTTGCAGTATCCGTCTTCCTCACCGACCCTTGGACTTTCCTCGATTGACCCATTCAATCTCCCCTGCATTCTCTTCATGCCTAAACTTAAACTCCTCTTGCATCTCCAGTGCATATTCATCTTCCTCCAACTCTTCTTCATTTTTACCCTTTTCATCTTTCTCCTTCCACATTTGTTTCGCAAAGTAGTCTTTTAAGAACTTCTTCTTCTCATCAAGAAGAGCATCCTTGCCGAAATACTCATCCATTTTCTTCACGAGATCTTCATTTTCCTCCATAGCATCATCTCCATTGATCCTCTCTGTTTCTCTCAAGAG